GGGACCCTGCCCCGGGGAACACCGGTCTGTGGGAGACGCTGCCCTGCTGGGGGCTCCATCCGAGGGGTGGGCCCCAGGGGACCTGGCCCTGTCCCCCAAGCCCACGTGGGGTGCATGTGGGGAGGCCCAACCGGGCACAGGGCGGCCCTGTGCTCACACTTCCTGAGGGTGCTCACGTCGCCCTTCTTCAGGCAGAAGCAGAGGTCGGCGAAGTAGTCCTGCAGGAGTCCCCCTGCGCGGGAAGGAGGTGGGGCCGTGGGTGCCCGGCCACAGAGGGAGGCGGGGGTCTGGCTGAGGGGCCAGTGCTCCCAGCCGGAGGCCAGCACCACTGCCCCTTCTGGAGCGGACCTCAGGGTCGGGGCTGGCGGGCTGGCACCTACCAATGAACTTCATGGCCACGAGCTTCAGGTGCCTGTCAGGACTGACCAGATAAACCAGCGCCCGCATGAGAAACTGGTGGTAGTTGCCAAAGTTGCTCTCCACCTGGGGTGGAGAAGAGCTGAGTTGGTGGCAGGCTGGGGTCCATGTGGCCCTCCGGTCCTGCCTGAGGCCCCACGCTGCTCAGCGTTCCCAGCCTGGAAAGAGGAGGGCCACCACACCTGGGTCCAGGGCCAGGAAGCCGGGCCCCGGCACGGACGAGGCGGGGAGGGGCAGAGCCGTGGCTTTGCAGGACCAGCTCTCCTTCCACCCGTCAGGACGGGAGCCTGTGCGAAAGGACCTGGGACTTTGCAGACCAGCTGACTCTCCCTCCAGGGAGTCCTCCAGGAAGTCATCTCTGCCCCTCCCAGGATGGCTTCAGCAATGGGTCCAGGCCTATCAGAGCCAATGGGATGTGGGCAGTCCGTGGGCTCCTCCATGCAGAGGGCGAGGAGACGGGGCACCTGCACCAGGGTTGGGGCACCATGCTTTTCTGCCACATGCACAACCACGAGTCCCGATGAATACATCCCAGTGCCTCGGGCCCCAAGGTCACCCCATTCCCCACACCTCCCAGAGAGACCAACCATGGGCCCACTGCCCGCTCCTGCCCCAGCCACGCTCTCCCCGGGTGAGGGGCACTCCTGCAGCAGGGGGCACCTTCCTTGCTCTGGCTCCTCGCTGGCCAGGATGACCCACAGGGCTGCCTTTCTACCCCTAGGACCTCACAATGGGACTTTACTGGGAGAGAAGGCCTTTAAAGGGGCAGTCAGCTCAGTGAGATCATACAGGTGGGCCCGGATCCAGCACGCCTGGCACCCTCATACAAAGGGGTGGGCGTGGAGCAGGGGAGAGGCTTCCCTGAGGAGCTTCCCTGAGGAGCCTCTCCCCTGCTCCATGCCCCCGCTTTGTATGAGGGCAGGCCACAGTGATGCTGCTGCTGCTGCTGAGACCCAAGGGGCTACAGGAGCTGGAGAGGCACAGGACAGAGCTGTCCCCAGTGCCTTCGCAGGGAGCGCGGCCCTGCCAATGCCTCCACCTCGGACTCCAGATTCCAGACAGCGAGGTAACACACTTCCGCTGTGTAAGTCAGTTTGTGGCACTTTGTCACATGGCCCAGGAAACCAATACAGGCCAGAAATTCCTAAAGCTGCTCCAGAGAGAGGCGCTAATGCAGGGAAAACAGAAAGAGGGTTACGGCGTGAGAGCTGGGAAAGTGGAATTTAATGGGCTTCATTGGTGCTTGGTATTTAAACGTGGGGAAATGTTTAAATGTGGACATTTTGTTTCTCCTGTTCATGACTTTTGAAAATAGGGTGCTGACGTGCACCTGCTACCACACGTGGTGTCAGGAAACAATCGGGGAACCCACCTGGCCCCCGTGCAGGGCACAGGAGGCCATGGCCCGGGCGAGCCGGTGGGGAGAGGCTCAGCCCCGGCGCTGCGCGTTCGCAGGAGGACAGCTGCCCAGCGTGGAGCTGTGGACTTCCTGCATCAGACACCAGCGATGAACACGCAGCCCACAGGCCTCCACTGTGACAAGACCCCAGATTGAAGCAGCTTTCAGAAACGCTTACAGATTGGGTCGATGTGTGAGAACTCGACAGTGCGGCAGGAAAGGATGCTGGCCGTGCCGCTGAGAGACGGTGAGGGAGAGTTCTGGAAAGGGGCTGCCTTTTGCGGGCAGGGCCCCTGTCGTCGGCAGCACCCGGCAGAGTCCAGCCCGCGGCGCAAGGCAGCCTGCGGAGACCTGGTCCCGCAACCCTGGCCGACGGACGGCAACTGTTTCCCTTTGAATAAAACTGCAGAAATCCTAGGAAGCTGTGACAATGGCAAAACCACTGAAGCCCGGGGGTGTCTGGGTGGGGAGGGAAGATTCGTAAGAAAGGAAGGCGGTGAAGACTTAACGTTCAAACCTTCACCTTCTCGTCCTGGTGATGCTGGGTCTTCTCCACAGAGCGTGAAACAGGCAGGAGATAGACCTTCGCAGCTAACTAGGATTTTATTCCACATTCAGAGGTGTGTCAATAGTTTGTGACTGGTTTGTAAATAAACGTTCGGGGAAATGTTCTTTGTGAAATCCAGACGCTGCTGTCGGTGATGGGCGGACGTAATGGCAGTAATGCTGACCGCTGAACGTTTCCCAGGCGGACTGTGTAACAAGTCAACGAGATGAATGCACTGGGCACTAAACAGGCTGCAAATGGTAGTGCACGGACCTCCTCGTGGAGGAGGGGAGACCAGCTACCCCAGGGCAGAGGCGGCCAGGACACACCCTGAACGGCGGGCTCGGGGCTGGTGCTCTGGCGTCTCCCGTGGGGGGGGGGCGTCGGCCCGGGGAGCCTGGTGCAGCTCCCCCGGAGAAGAAGACTGACCCGCAGACCCAGGCAAGCAGGGATAGAAGGGGAGCCCTGGCCCCAAACAGGCACCTTGAGGACCTAGGGCAGGAGGACTCTGCAAGCAGGCAGAGTCAGACTGAGAGTCTCTCTCTATCTCGGCCCCAGTTAGGAGCAAGAGAAAAGGAACATTTCTTGAGAAACAGTAACCACGGCCCAGAGAAAGCCTCGTGAGGACCTGGGATTGGATTATGGTGTGGGCATCCTGGGACCCCAGCGCAGAGAAATGCAGGCGGAACCACCCCGGGCGGGAGGACCTGGGACGCCCCGCAGCCCCAGACACCCCAGAGCAGGCCATCTCCAGCCCGACCCGACGGGACACCTGTGGAGAAAGGGCCACAGTGCAAACGGCAAGCCCACGGAGGGGAGGCCGCCGCAGCAGGAGTCAGGGAAAGGCCTGGAGCCGCGGAGCTCCCGGGAAGCCGGCCACCAAGCAGAGGCCACACAGGCGCTCTTTAAACAATTACGTTACTCACAAGAGAGAACAAGACTGAAGGAGAACAGGCAGGCTCGTGGAAGAGGCCACAGAGAAAGCAAAGGGATTCCCCGTGGCCCCCGTGGGGGCGACGCGGACGGGCGTGTGAAGAGGAAGGGAGGCGGGGTTCGCGAGCTGGGAGACGACCTGGAAGAAAAACGGCCCGAACAGATGCAGACCGGGGGCGAGGTTCAGACAGCGGACGACAGGACCGTCCGACAGCAATCGAGTGTGGGAGGTTCACCACATTGTCCCCGTTACCGATTGCTTTTTGCCTCTCAGCTCCAGATCCACCCATGCTGGCGGCTCTGGAAAGCCGGACCTGGGCCCTCGGGCCCCAGAGTGCTGGCGGCAGGCACCACGGAGAGACCCGAGACGCTGCAGGTGGAAGGGACTTGCGCCCTGACTCTGGGTCCTCACTCGCCAGCTGTGGGGGGCGCCAGGCTCCCGGGTGGGCGGCGTCCACGCACCAGGGCATGGTGCACGTCGGCCCCTGCACGTGGGGTGCGGTGGCCAGCTCCTCGACGGGGCAGCACCTTCCTCTGGGCCCCCCTCCGGCAGCTTTGCGGTGAAGGTCCCGTGCCAGCTCCTGAGGCTCTTCCTGGGATCTCCGAGGGCTCATCTTCTGCACCACGTGGAGATGAACCTCTTCTCTGACACGGAGCAAGTCACGCGCATTCGAGGCCCGGCGCTCAGCCCATGGCAGGGGGGGGCTCCCTTGGGTGCTCCCATCAGCCCTCAGGCAGCAGCCATTGCAGTGTCACCACGGCAAGGCGCGTGCCGCGCAGGAGGGTCCCTGCTGTCCCTGCGCCCTTCCCGCTCCCCTTGCCCTCCCTCCCAGCCTCCCCCTTGTCGCGCCGGGCCCCTGCTGCAGTTGGTGATCCTTCACATTACCCTCTCCCTGCTCAAATCGCCGTATGGAGTCTATCTCCCAAGTGGATCTGGACACAGAGCATTCACAGTCGTGATCGAGGCCAGAAGGGGCAAGTGTGGCAGCCCCTGGGCCTCCGAGGCCTGAGCCGCAGCCGGCACGTCACCATGGTGAACCCCAGGCGGCAGCCAGGAGCATGAACTGGGCCACCAGGGTCCCATCGCCCAGGGGCAAGGGGCCAGGCCCTGCACTAGAGCTGAAAGGCACTCCCAAGCCAGTCCCCGAGCCCCCTCTTGCTGGTCCTCCTGGACCCGTCGCAGTACCAGCGCTGTTCCACAGAGCGGGGAGGAACTTCTCAATCAGACCCAAAAGCACAAACCGTGGGAAAGTAATACACTCGGCTACATTAAAACTCCAAACTTCTGCCTAAGCAGAGACGCCGTTAGCAGAGTACAAGGCCGAGTCACACACTGGGCAGAATTAACAGCAATACAGGCAACTGGCCCAGGCCCCGCCCCCAGAGCTCAGAGAAGTCACACCTGACACGCATTTCTGAGCAAAAGACAAACAACGCCACGCGCGGTGGGTGAGGATCTGAGCAGGTGAGTCGGGTGGAGGCGCCCTGGCTGGCGGGCTCCCGACGGGGTCTGGCCCCACAAGACCCCTGTCACCCTGGGAGGGCGGTGCCCACTTGGAGCCCTGGCCCAGCCTCTCTCTCCCAGCCTCAGCAGGGTCCCCAGGTCGCCTCGGACACCTGGATGAGGTCCGGCATGGCCCAGGTGCGAGGCCCACAGGAGCCCTCGGCCAAGCTGTTCCCCTGGCAGCCAGGGGAGCCCCAGCAGGGCGGGCGCTGAGGGTCCGCTCGTCTCCCACTCTTAGGGCACAGAGAGCGACTGCAGTCAGAAACACACTGACCGCCAGGACACGGAGCTCTCCTCAGCCCGTTCACGCCCACCCCCGCACAGAGCTCCTCAGCAAGGGATGGGGTCCCAGGAACGTCTGCAGGGTCAAGGGTCTGGGAGCTAAAGCGCCCTCCCCACGTCTGCCCAGGGCCCCTTGATGGCAAAGCGGGGCGTGCCGCCAGGCGGGGCTCCCTGTCCCGGTCCAGGTGCACGGTGTGGGTGTGGCCTCCCACGCGGCCCACCTTGGAGGCCCCAAGCTCCATCACCGAGGAACCACACTTTCCTCCCAGAGGCTGAAGTCTCCGGCTCAGCATGCAGCAGGCACTAATAAACATGCCCAGGACCAAGTCAGACAGCACTGAGGGGGCCTCGGCATCTGCACACCCCCACCTGGGTGCCCCTGAGAGGGGCTGGCGGTGAGCCGAGGACCAGAGGGCCCTGCCTGCACACAGCCGGTCTCCACCCTCCGGGCCTCCTGCTCCCCCTCCAGCAGGGCGCTGGCATCTTACCATGTAGATTAAAATGTCGTTCTCGGCGCCCAGGCCACGGCCCCAGGCCAATTTGCCAAACAGCTCCTTCCGAAACTCCCACTTCAGCAAGATGGCGCAACGCAGAAAGGTGAGCTTGGTCTTCTGCAGGCACCGAGAGAGATGTGTCACCACCCGCCCATCACGATGCCCCGCTCCGGGCAGACCCCTGAGGGTCCCCTGCCCAGCAAGCACCCCACTCACAGCTGCGCGGGCCAGAGGGGAGATGCACCGTGGGAGGAAGGGGCGCCCCCACAACACGGCCGTTACTCCAGGCCCCACGAGTGTCCTGCTCTCATTCACAGGAAGATCCCAGAAAGGCCAGTGGTAGCCTGGCCACTCAGTCCTTTCTCTGAGGGTCCAGGGGATGGGCACCCAAGGCAAGAGGACTGGCTCTTTGCTCAGCAGCCCCAGCACCACGGCCCCTGGGCTCACAGCTCCTTTAGAGGGTCCCTGTGTCCCTGTGGTGGGCAGAACCCATCGCCACACCCACTCCGAGGCACATGGGTTGGAGCCCTGACCCCCAGGACTCCAGGACATGGACATACTTGGAGAAAAGGTCTTTAAAGGGGTGATTAAATTAAAACGAAGTCACGACAGTGGGCCCTAAGCCAGTATGGCCAGTGTCCTTATAAGAAGAGGAGATCCAGAATCAGACAGCCACAGAGAGACGACCAAGCGAGGACACAAGGAGAAGTCAGCCGTCCACATGCCAAAGAGAGGCCTCAGGAGGAACCAGCCCTGCGACGCTCAGTCGCAGCCTCCCCACCTGCGGCAGTTTATCAAGGCAGCCCAAGCTGACTAGGACAGGCCCCGCTCCAGGCCTGGCCTCTCCTCCTTGCTGCGTCGGGAATGGCCTTCCTGGTATTCACTCCCCAAATCCCTTCGCCTCCCCTCCTGAGTACACACCGCAGGGGGCTCTGCGGCTCACACCTCTGTCCCTGGGGGGCTGGGCAACCTTCTTTCCGGTACCTCCTGACCACAAAGGAGGACCCTCTGTTCCTTCCTCCTCGACTCCCCCGCCCCCTCTGGCCAGGCCAGGCCTACCCTCGACTTCTTGTGCGCCAGGCTCTCAGAGAACGAACCACGCTCCCTCAACTGGAGACCCTGGCCCCTGGGCAGCTTACCCTAAGATTATATCGCTTCAGAAGCCTGCTTAGAAGCCTGCCTCCCCCAGGGAGCCTCCCTGGTTATCTTAGCCCTCTTTTCCTTCTTAATTTATTGGCCGTGCCCCTCAGTCTCCCGCCCAGCCACATCGCTCCTTACACTCTTCACACACCGTGCCCATCCACCTTTCCTCTATCCACCTGTTGACCCTTCCATCCATCCATCCATCCATTTAGCTGAGCATTCACTCAGCTGCTGCCTCGCGTCAGGCTCTGGGCTGGGGGCTGACCTTAAAGATCCACCTCTGAGGCAGACCCTCTCCCTCACTTGAGGGGTTCCCAGCCCATCAGGGCCATCAGCAATGGGTCCAGAGGGCTCTTGGGTCTGATGGATCTGGGGCACGGGCAGAAAGAAGGCATGGAACTAGTTTGTAGTGAAGAGGCGGGAATTCAGGCAGCTCCCTGAGAGCTCAAGAGAGGGCTGGGAAGAAGGAGGAGGAGGCCCAAGCAGGCCCTGCCCACTGCCTTGCTGCTCAAGGCATGACCCACAGAGCTGGGTCCCTGTGGAATGGCTGGTAGCTTTGGGGCTGCCCCATTGATCTTTCGTGGGAGTTAAACATGGTGCCTCTTCCTAGGGCAGGTGCCCTTGAGCAGGGCATGGTCTAGACCAGCAGCCCCTCGGGGAGGGGGAGTGCGAAGGGCCCCGAATGCCAGGCTCCTGAGGCTGGTTTTATGTATGTGTGTGCTGGCAGGAGGCCTCTGAAGCCAGAGGAGGTTCACAGAGCCCTGGATCAGGGGAGAACCTGGGGGCAGGTGGAGCCCGGGAACGGCCACCCTGGATGGGTCTTTTCCTTTTTTCCGTCTGCATGTTAACCTACAGGGCCAGGCCTGGCCCTCCCTGTCTGGCCACCGTGGCCTCTCCAGGATGGCAGCCTTGCCCTGGCCCCACTTACTGAGGCTGAGTCCTGAGGTGCCCGATCTATCTGCAGGCAGATGGGTCCTCCCAGTCCTGCTCCCCAGGCTGCCCCCAGCTGGAGGATGCTGTCCAGCCAGAGGCACGCCGGGTCACTTACCATGACCACATCAGGGCAGGAGTCCGCCAGGTGGAAGAGCAGCGGCACCAGGGCCTGGAAGGCGTGGCTCTTGAGCGCCTGCCGAAACTTCTTGCCGCCACTGTAGATAACATCTCCGTACAGGAAGATGGCTCCTCCACGCACGCCTTCCTTTTCCTGGCAAGGCAGGCAGGCCTTCCCCTCAGTCAGGAAATATCCTGGAACCCTGGGCCCAGGACAGCCCCAGCCCCACAAGCCACGTGCCCAGCTAGCTGCCACCCATTCTCACCTTCCTTTCCACCCCAGTGACTTGCAGAGGCCAGTATCTGCCATCACATCTGCCCCTTGTCAGCACAGCACTAGCCAACTTTACCCCTCTACTCCACTGACCCTGCTGTCCAGGCCGCCCCTGATGCGCCAGCCGCCCCCGCCACACCAGCTGCACGGCCTTCTCTCCCGGCCGACCCTCTTCTCGCGTCTCCCCTCCGACGGCTGCAGCCTGACCTGCACTGACGTCTTCTCCTGCTTTCTTTCTTTGTTGTCTAGGGACCTCAGGCTGATAGGAGCCACCCCTCCGCTCCCAGGCAGACCAGGATGGGGGTTAGAGCACAGACCCTGGTGTCAGACCTGTCACCTTCTAACTCTGTGACCCTGAGTAAGGCTCCTTCTGTGTGTGACTCAGTTCCCCCTTTCGCAGGAAGGGATGGACAACAGTGCCTTTGTCCTTGGCCTGTGGTGAGGACTGAATCCAGCTGTCCTTTTATTCCTCCCGCCCCACCTCCTCTAGCCTTATCTGACCACCTCAGACAACAGCAGCTGAGGTCTCCAGGACACCGTCATGGAGGGCAGTGCCATCTGCCTTCCCGGCAGGCTCCATCTTCCTCTTCCTCACCTCCAGGAATGGCAGCATCAACTTCCCACCTGCCACCCCCAACTGGGGCTCAGCCCTAAGCCCTCATTCTGCCCTCTCCCCACAGTATGCCCTCAGTCCCTGAGGGCTGCCTTGCAGCCTGGCTGCCCTGCCTTGGTTTAAGCCTCACCACATTTACCTCACCTGATTTATTCAGAACCCCCGAAACCATGTACCCTGGCTCTACCTACTCATTTCCACGTGGCGAACTTACGCTCGCCCTGCCCTCCACCCCGCCCGCAGCCTCTGGGTGGGGAAGGCCTGGGTGGTTTGGGAGCACATAGTTATCTCTGAGGCCGGGTGGAACCTTCCTTCCCTGGGGCCAGGTTCCCGCCGGAGCGCCAGCCCTGGACTCTACCCACAAGCCCGAGGGAAGCAGCTTAGGCTGCTCTGATTGGCGGGGGCGGGGTAGCCTCGGCTGCTCGGGGTGGGGGGGAGTTGGCGAGGGGCTGCGCAGGCGCAGGGGTTCGGAGCATTTGGCTCACATTCTCGAACAGCGGCAGCAGGTGCTGGGCCATTTTGAGGCTGATGGCGCCGACGCCCTGGGTACCCAGACGGTGCAGGATGTCGCCCAGGATCTCCATCAAGCCCAGGAGGTCTTTGGGCTCGGGCTTCAGGAAGCTGTCCAGCAGCACGGCCAGCCGGTTCCGGAGCAGGACCACCTGCAGGGAGATGCAGCCGCCCCCTGGCCTGCGCCGCTCCCTCCTAAACAGGCTTCCTGGCCCAGCCTCAGAGACTGCCTCTCCTCTCACTTACTGCCCCTCTTTAAGCTCAGCTGGGGACCTCGGTTCCAGCCCTTGACCGCATCTTGGGAGCACGGAGGCCCAAGAGGCAGGAGGAGGAAGGATGCCCCCGTGGAGTGAGGTGTGAGTTCTCCGTAGCCGGGTGCAGCATGAATTGGACCACCTGGCAGGAGTGCCTCAGGTAAGAAATCCCTGCCTGGGCAGGGGGCCAAAGTCACTGACCTCAAAGTCACTGAGTTTACTCCAGCTCAGAAAGTGTCCGTTCTCAGCGCTATGCAGTGCAGCAGGGTCTCCCAACATTCCTGCCCTCCCCTGTCCTGGGCCTTGGCTTGCCTTCCTCATCCAACCCTTGAGGTTTCACCTACCCTGGAGGCCCTTTTCAAGTGCACCCTCCTCCTCCCTAAAGCCTCCTCGAACAGGAGTGGGCGCACCTTCCTCTCACCTTCTTAGGCTGCAGGAGGATACTGCTGAGGCCCTTCAGGCTCATGGCCCTCACCAGCTGGTTGGGGTTGTTGAGGCCCAGGCTCAGGAAGTTGTCCATGGTTTTCCGAGACATGTACTGGGTGAGCTCTTGGCCATTGAGAAACTAGGTAGGGTTGGCACAGTCAGCCCCCCAGTTAATTATGGCTGTCAGGGGAAATCGACCTATAACCTAGCATGAGAGTGGGGTTAGACATAAGGAAGCACTTCCAGACAGCAGGTAGGTCTGATGTGGAAGGTGAAAGTTAGGATGCCTTTATATCGGGTAGGAATGGGGCTGCAGTTCTCTGACCTTCCTGAGGGCCAGAGGGCACCTGGAGGAGCAGAGGTGGGGGCCAGGAGGGACTGACCTCTGTTATGATGAGGATGGCCACGATGTTGTCCCGTTCTTCCGGGCTCTTCAGGAAGATGACTGCCTGCCCCAAGACAGCTTTGACCTCACAGTCGTAGTGGGCCATGGCCCTGTCAGATGGAAGAGGCAGACAGGGGGGCACTGAGGGCTCCATCCTTGGCCAGGAGGACCCCTCTCCCCCGGCAGACCTTGCTCACCAAGGGCGATGGCCCAGGCCACTCAGTCTGGAGCTCAGGGTCTGAATACGGGGTGCGGGAGGGGAGTCCCATCAGGGATGCAGTCTGGAGCCGGGCCCCTCCCAGGCTTGGTCCTTACCTGGCCAAGAGGGCCACCCCCTCTGTGTAGGTTTCCAGGCGCTCAAAGAGCTCCCAGCCCCTCAGCAGCTTGAGGTAGGCAAACACCTCCCAGTAATTGGTGGTCCAGAAGAGACCCTTCAGGGCCTCCAGGCATGTCCTAGGGGCAAGTGGGGGTATGTAGAGGGGTGAGTGAGGGCCTGGTTCTCCACCTGGAGCATGAGGTTGGCTTCTCCACCACAACCCACACTCTCCCATCTGGGCCTGGGTGAGCTGCCTGCTGCCCTCTGAGCTTCCCCTCTGGCAGGAAGTCCCTCCTAACAGGGGTTGGCTGTTCTGCCCCCTGCCCCCAACCCTGGTGGGACGAGAGTTCCTCCTTTTTGGGTCCCCAGCACTTAGCCCAAGGCTTGGTGCCTACCAGGGCTTCTGGGCATGTGTAGGAGGAACCAGAAAGAAGGTGTGGGCTGGGGGCCTCGGGCCCGTCGTACGTCTCACCTGCAGGGGCTGAGGGCCTGCGTCTCCAGGCTCTCCTCCTGGTGGTCTGCGATGCCCTCTACCACGTCCAGCTCAAACAGGTAGTGGAGCTGTGTCAGCAGGCCCAGGAGGATCCCCGCAAAGGCCCAGCGCACCGTGGCCTTGTACTCCCGGACGTAGAGGAGCTCATAAATGGCGCCCAGGGCCTGCAGCAGGACAGGGCACCACCCTTGGTCCCCACCTAGGACCTGGCACCGGTGAGCAGAGGAGCGGGGAGCAGCCACCACAGAGCTGCCCTGCCTGGAGCCAGCCCCACCCTGGGACTCAGCATCTGGGGAGCCCCTCTGCCAGGCCACGCTGGCGTCCCAGGGCCCTTGGATATTGATAGCCTTGTAGAGGGTGGCAGAGGGGCTCACCAGCAGGGACATGAGCTCAGCCTGCACAGGGAACCTGATGAGCTCGCGGTGGGGCCGCAGCTTCAGCTTCACATAGAGCAGCGTGACGACCTTGCGGGCCAGCCGGCTGTTGGCGGCCAGGGCCTTCCACAGGGGCATGACGTGCCTGGGGAGGCAGGGGCCAGTCCCACCAGCTGGCTGGCCACACAGGGTGAAAGGCCAGTGGGACATGACCCCAGGGCAGCAGGATGGCCTGCTGCATATGGGGCAGTGAAGGTGGCCAGGCCCCTTGGGAACAGCGGAGCTCTCCATCTGGGCGCGCCCAGGCGGCTGTATTGTGATGACCAGCGGGGCTGGGGCCCTGCTCAGAGCTCTGTACACAGGCAAGCCTTCCCTGCCGTTTGTGCTCAGCCCCACCTTGCACCCCATGGCCTGTGACGCAAGCAAACCCTGTCCTTCCCCAGCCTGTCTCCTCACTCACAAAGTGGGGGTCGTACGCAGCAGGGCTCGCCCCTCAGGCAGCCTGGGGAACAAGTGAGCCCTGGGGTTGGAGGGTGCTCCCGCCTCCGCAGCCCCGGGAGCTCCCTGCTCCCTGTCAGAGGTGCCGTGGCCCCGTGGCAGGCTGCTGCTCCCTGAGGTGCTCCGGGAAGGCACCATGGCCTCCAGCACCCCCCGGGCTTCAAAGGGCACACACACCACTCAGTTCTGGTTGGAATGCAGCTTCTGACTCGACTGGGCTGGGCCAGGCCTGAGGCTGTATTTCTAACGAGCTCTCAGATGTTGCTGTTCCTGCGTCTGCAGTCAGAATGGTGCAGCTTGGAGACGCCACAGTAGGGGCGACTGGGACTGTGAGCTTAGGGCCCAGAGGCAGCTGGCAGGAACTGTCTGGGGCTGTCCTGTAACCCCGCCGGCTGTTCTGCCGGTTGCCTCTGGGAGCTCTGAGTCCGAGGGACACTCCCACACCGAAAGCCCTCCTTCTGGGACTTCTGGAGCCTCCACCTTAACCCCTCAGCCAGCGGCATCTTCAGAGATCCCCCGGCCCTGGTCCTGGCATCTAGGAAGGAGGGCGGAATTGGGCCGGAGCTCCTGTACCCTTCTGCGTTCCCTAGAGTGGAGTCTGTCCGGAAAGGGTCCGTGGACTGGAGGGTGGACCACGGGGAACAGACAGGTATTCATGTCTGGGCCATGGGCGCAGGTGCCCTACCTCTCTGAGGGGTGGCACAGGGACAGCATCACCTCGACAGTCTGCTGCGTGTGCTGGGTCCCCAGCAGCGTCACAGCCTTCATCATGGTCTGCAGGACATCCCTGAAGATGATGCAGGGCAGCTCCTGGAACAGGCCCTGCAGGATCTCAGCCACCTGTGCCGGGAAGGGCGGGCCATGGGAGCCACAGAGCAGTCCTCCAGCTTCAGCCTCCCTCCCCGACCGGGCCAGGGTCCACCTCCTCTGAGAGGGCATCTGTGGCCTCCTCAGCCCACAGTCTGACCCCTGTGTGGTCCCTGTGGCACGATGGGGCGTCTGGACATGTGCTCACAGCTGGTGCGGCCACTGACACTGACACTGCAACAGTGCCCCCCTAAACCTGTCCTGGTGGAAATGGGAATCAACTCAAGGGGCCAGTGGGCCTGGCAGCCCCTGCAGAACGGTGCTTTCTGAGTGGGCTGCAGACTAGGTTGGCCAAGCCAGACCGAGGGCAGTTAAACCCTGGTGAGGCGACAGCGGTGCGGGTAGTGATTTCTCTCTTTCCTACTGAACGAGACTGTGATGGAGGCAGGGTGTCCCTCTGATTGCCCAGGGCAAGGCCTTAGGACCTTGAGAGGTCTGGCTTGACAGGGACCCTGGGCATCACAGGGCGCAGCCCTGCTAACAGCCAGGGCCATGCTGTTTCAGGCAGCTGCAGGCATGCTGTCTACCACCAGTGGCCAGGAGCAGCCTCGGGACCTACTGCCTCCTGGGGCTCCACACACGCACGTGGCTGTCCTACACCCTGCACCCCACGCCCTCCCTGGCGGACCCTTGTGCTGCCGGGCCAGCACGCAGCGCCCACCTGCTCCGGCTTGACGCTCCAACCCTCGACGATCATCAGGAGCAGCTCCGCGGCCAGGTTGCAGCGCAGAATGTCGCGGCTGCAGAGCCCTTGCAGGAGCGTGAGGACCAGCTGTGTGTGCTGGGCCACCGTCAGGTTCCCATCCAAGGCCTGTGCCAGAGGGGCTGTGCTGAGGGGCCGTAGGGGGCCCTCCCGGGTCCTGTGGGCTGGGAGACAGGACTGCGGGGCACTGCTCTTCCCCAGGGACAGAACGAGCACCAGGTGCACAGACTTGCAGAGACCCCGGAAGGGCCCAGATTGAACCCCTGCCCCAGGAGGCTGTTGGAGCCTCACCCAGCTTGCCTCTGTGGGCAGCTGGAAGTGTAGCTGCTGCAGGCTCAGAGCAGCCCCTTCTCTGGAGAGTCGCTCTGGGGACAGTGGGAATGAGCAGCCTTGCCCAGGAGGTCGGAAGTCCCCACCCCCAGCCTGCAACCAGTGACTGACTTGGGGTACAGAGGGTGAGACCAACTCCATGGTGCAGTTCCCACTGCAGCACCGGGGGTCAGGCTGAGCCCATGCCCCTGCTCAGCTCTTCTGGCCCTGTCTTGCTCTCTTCACTCCTTCCTCCTGAGGACACATCCTGGTCCTCCGTAAACTGCACTGAAATTCCTGTCCCAGGGGCTGTCTCTAGGAGCCTCCACACCCCTCCCCTTCACCCCGAGACAACGGGCTTTAAAGCCCTGGGCTCTCTGGGAGGGATTCCCAAGGGACGTCCACGTGCCCAGGGGTGTTGTTGCTCCTGTCACAGCCTGTCCTGAGAGCAGGCTGCAGAAGATGATGAAACAGGCATAGAAATTTTCAGTGAGCTACCAAGGGCCACTCAGCCCGTTAGGGGCAGAGCTTGGACTCAAACCTAAACCTTTGACCCCCAGTCTAACTCGAAGGGAGCACGCAGCCTGAGAAGAAGGTGTGCCTGGGGAGGGGGGAGCAGAGGGGATGGGAGAAGGGCGTCTGGCCATCCCGCTGCCAGAACAGTGGGGAAGTGCTAAGGCCTAGTGAGGGGCTGAAGGGGCCCGGGGGAGGGGGTTCTGAGAAGGGAGATTCCAAAGGTGTTCCCATTGGGGAACCTTAGACTCTGTGGTTCCAAATTGGCCCAATTGCAGAGTCAGAGGTGGGAGGGTGTGGGGGCAGGGTGCTAAAGGGAAGAAAAGCAGGTGCTTTCCCTGAAAGGAACTTCAAGGTTCTGGCTCTTCCTAACCTGCTCCCATGCACAGGTTGCCTGGGGCCTCCATTGGCCCATCTGTAAAATGGGCAGGGAGGTGGATAGAGTCCACGCTCTTGGGCAGTTGGGGGATTCTGTGTGAGCACAGAGCAGCTGTCGGCCCCTCCCTGCCTTCAACTCTGACAGGTCCCACCTTCACCAAATTGTAGAACTTCATCTCCGACTCCCTGCGGACCCTTGCTTCGAAATTCTTCATCTTATTCAAATTTATGAACTCCGCCGTGTTCCCTGCTGTGGGACACTTAGCCAGTCAGGAGGCCTGCCGCAGCCTGAGAAGGGACACCCTCCTCTCCAGACCACAAGGGAGGCGCAGAGAAGCCAAGCAGCCAGGCCAGTGCCCCAGGAGACGTGGGCCATATGGCCCCTGCTGGCCTCTCCCACCCCATCCCTGCTCACCACTCACTCTTCTGCTGGATCAGAAGCTGGAGGAGGAGGTAGACACACTGGCTGGAGTGGCTCTGGGTGATTTTGTCCTTGTCCCTCCACAGCAATGTCAGCAGGCCTACTTGGCGGCCCAGCATGGAGGGCAGGGCCTCTTCCTGGGGAGGGTGTGCAGTGAGCAAAGCCAAGCCCGGCCTCCTGGTGTCACGTCCGCTGTCCCTCCCAGCTTTCCAGCTCTCAACCTCTTCCTGTCTCGGCATCTTGTGGGCAAGGCACCGGCTCAGCCTCTGACAAGGGGCTCCCGTTCCAGGTCTGGGAAAGCCCTTCACCTCCCTGACCCT